CATACTCTGTACCACAATCTAAAAAACTGTTCCCAAAAAATGAAAAATATATATAAATATATACAATGTTCTTAATATTTTGATTTTAATAAAAGAGCACCACACGCGTCCCTAGGTATTAACACCAGGAATAAATAAAAAAAAAAAAAAACAAGCCACACAAAAAGATAGTAATTGACAAATTGATCAAACAAGCAGAAGAAAAGACAAAACTAGTAACAGAATCAAAGCTAATTAAAGAAGCTATAGCAGAACATTATAAAAAACAATTTAGAGAAAAGAATGCCAAACTAGAAGATATATCAGAAAGTTAAAAAAAATTTATAAACTACAAGATCATATTAAAGAAAAATGGTATAGTAGAATTAAAAAAAATTGAAGAAAAAAAATGAAATAAAATAATTAAAAAGCTCAAAATAGAAACAGCTTTGGAAATATTAGGAATAAGTTATATATTAATCAAAAAAGCAAAAAAGAAAGCACAAGAGGTGTTTAGAGCCTATGCAGATCTATGTTTAGAAATAGAAAAAGTACCAATAAAGTAAAAAGTAGTGCAAGTATATCTGATACTAAAAGATATAAAATAAGAATACAGTTTAAATAATATTTAGCCAATAGCATTAATTAAAACATTTAAAACTATGCTATTACAATTAACTATATTAGTAAAAACAATACAATCAACTGCATTAACACAATTGACAACAATCATCTATGAGTTTTTGTAAATTTTATTTTATTTTATTTTATTTTTTTTTAAAAAAATACTTAAAAATATGATAATTCTTTATAATTTAGGTTTAAATTATGGGAATTAGTAAATAGTGCATTATGCACCGCAGTGCATCGGTTTGATGATCACGGATATGTATAGCAGAGAATAAAAGTATCGATCAAACAATCACAAGTCTGTAATAGCGGAAAGTAAAATATCCTGTAATTGAGTTGCACAAATTATGCATTTAATTAGTATAAATGAAAAATGTAAACAAGGAAAAAGTTAACTCTTTTGCTAACAAAAAGCGAAAGCCAAAGTCTATGTAAAGTAAATACAGCCAGGATAAAAACTCATACAGTACAAATACTTCACCCATTGTTTATTGTTGTGGTTTATCGGCTCCGGGTGTAACCTATACAAGTACATACGTACGTACATCATACTTATGTTGAAGTTACTTCTTTCAAGCCGTAACAGTAATATTTGTTACACGATTTCTGCTATTTATTGGCCCCGGAGTTATTCGATATTAAATAATGACAAATAAGGCATACGATAGTCCAAATGAAGTAAGCGGGAAAAACCAAAACGAAGCAAGTGACACAAGTGACATAGAACAGGAAAGTTGGGTAAATGAAGCAGGTCAAGAAAATGAAGGAAGTAAGGCCGGTGAAGCAAGTAAAGGAAGTGAGAGCTCTTTTGAAGTGTTAAGTCATAATAGAGAAGAGGCAAATAACTTAGATGTAATTTCAGTAAAAGTAGGAGATCCGTTTGAAGATTTTGAACATGCCGAAGAACACATACAATGATATGCAGAGTTTAAAGGGTTTAAAACATGGTTAGGTCGAAGTACTGCAATGGGAACAGACAAAGTGATGAGAAAAAGAACAATCTACTGCCGACATTCTGGTCAATATAAAGCAAAAAATCCAGAAAATCCTGGAACATCTGTTAGACAGGGTTGTCAGTGGCACATTAATCTTTCACGACCACTCAAACAAAACCTGAATTCACTTGTTTATATAACAACATTAGTGGATGAACATAACCATGAGTTGTCCGTTGAAGCACTACAATTTGAGAAATTAAAGGCATTTACTAAGGAGATGCAAGATGATATTGCATTTTATGTGAAAAAATGTAATTTTGGTGCAACCATGATTAAGCGAATTTTTAACCAAAAATATCCATTACACCTAATTTTTCCTCAAGACCTTTATGCTGAGATCAAGAGACACAAGCCATCTACATGATTTGTTGAAGGTGATGCAGCTCGCTTTTATGAGGAATTATTGTTTAAACAATGTGAAGATCCTCGGTGGTTTGTAGAAGTGAAGTGGGAAATTGAGACAAGCACACTTATTGGTCTTTTCTGGATAGTCCAGATCAAATTTTATTATGGTGTGAATTTGGAGATACAATAGGCCATGATAACACTGCAGGGACGAATCGATATAATATGCCATTATCAATCTTTGTAGTATTAGATAATAATATGCAATCTAGGATAGTTGCACAAGCATTAATGAGCGATGAGACTACAGATTCATATGAATGGGTGCTGTACATGACTAAAAAAGCAACACAAGGCTGAACACCTAATGTAATTATAACTGATGGGGACCCTGCCATGGAACATGCAATTATTATTGATTATCCACTAGCACGTCACCTTCTTTGTATTTGGCATATAAAAGAGAATCTCAAAAAAGCACTTTATGGAAAATTGGGTATTTCATTTGCAGATTTTTATTCTGCATTTTGGAAATGCCGAAATGCTGAAACTCCTGATGCTTTCAATTATTACTGGAGAGAGATGGTTACAAATTATCCAACAGCATCAGAATATCTTGAAAGACAGTTGTATGAGCGACGTAAAGCATGGGCACGTGGGTTTACGACGATGCTATTTACACTTGGAATTGAGTCAACATCATTTGTGGAAAGCCAGAATGCTTGTATAAAATGTGTTCTTGAAAATAATAACACCTCTCTTTGTGAACTTGGTAAGGTTATGATGAATCATGTTGAAGAATGGCTGAAACAAAAACAATATGAAGATTGAACACGTGGTATTCCTTTAACATCAAATACTGTAACAGTCTTTCCAACTATTGAAGCACTTATTAGGTGTTATTTATGGCCAAATGTTATACAATATTTGCTTAATTAAATGAAAGAAAGCATCTATTATATTGCATCACGTTCTAGTATTCAAGAGGTTGAAAATATGTCTATTAATGAGCCA